TCAACATATGCTAGGTCCATTGGGAAATCTTAGGTCCATTTATATTTCCCATGAGATTGCTATTGTTCTTTTTGCATTTAGCAGATTAAGGTCTATCAATGGCCTCTCATCCTGGCTATATTTATAATTTGAGTATAAACCAAAAAGAAAAAAATTAGGATCCAGTAGAATTGGTGTAGAGATAAATGTCCCCATTGCATTCCGTACCTCCTCCCAGAAGACTTAAATTTTTCTGGCATTTCCAAACACAATGGAATATAGTCCCTTTTTTGTTCATTACATTTGGTGCAAGTATCTAAGATATTTTTGTTAAACTTATTTAGCTTCTCTGGGGATATATAAGTTCGCATTAACCATTTGTATTGCAGCAATTTAAAATTTGCGTTTATTGTCTGTTGTTAACCTTTGAACAGGCCATTTTCCAGTCCTCTTCTGTGATGTTGCACTCTAAAGCTGTCCTCTATGCTGACAGCTTATAGAATGTAACTAACCAGGGTGGGAATGGATTTCTTTAAATTTGACAGATACAGAATAATGTCGTCAGCAAAGAGGGAGACTTTGTGTTCATATTGTCCAATTGTTATTCCGAATATATGTGGATGCGATCGAATTGCAATGGCAAATGGCTCAATTGCCAGAGTAAACAACAATGGATAGAGTGGACACCAGTGATGGCAACCATTCTTATGTCAAACGGTTTTGACACATTTCCATTTGTTATCATTTCTGCCCTAGGATTCGTGCATATTATTCGGATCCATGTTCTAAAGTTACTACCAAATCCAAACCTTTCCAATACTGCAAAAAGGTTTGCCCATTTCACCTTGTCGAAAGGCTTTTTTTTAATCTACAGATAAAAGTGCTGCATCTGTTTTCTCTTTATAATTATGTATTATATTCAGTACTCTTCTTACATTATGGAATCCCTGTCTTCCCATAATAAATCAATTTTGGTCCTTATCTATAATATCTGGCATTATTTTTTTCAATCGGTTTGTCAGTACTTCACATAATATCTTCAAATCAGAATTTAGCAGGCTTACAGGTCTCTTATTCTCACATTTATTCGAAGGTTTTCCTGGTCTTGGTAGCAAAGTAATCAAGGCCTCATTCATTGATATGGGTAGACATTCAGTTTGAAAAGACTCTATAAGCATCTCCAAGAGCGGCTTAAGTAACTTATTATTTTTTTTTAATTATATAATTCAACTGGTAAACCATCTGGTCCTCCTCTCTTTCTTGCTTTCATAGCCTGCTGCACTTTTAATATTCCTGCATAAAAATATAAAAACTTGCAGAAAATTTAGGTCAGCCAGCATAAAGGGTTAGAGCTGGGGTTATGCTCGCTATTATGGTTAGATATAATGTTATGGTTGCCTTTTTTGGGTGTGCAGGTTCAAGTTTACTAACATGAGGACTATTTAGCAGCAAAGCGTCTGTCTGAATGGGAATCAAGTCAGTTCTTGTAACAATTTTGAGACCCCCTATTTTCCCCTTGATTCTTTCCCCTTCAGACAATGTGTGAAACATGTTTCCTGCTCCAAGGTGTAACCATAACTTGTTTTTCCTATTTTGATGCAGACTGGTTAATCTATTATTGTCCTTCTGCAAAACTCAGGGTAATGAGAACAAAATTGTAGTACAGATGGGGGTATAGGGTTGCCTATGGGAGTTTTACTTACACAAAAATGTTCTTAGGGCAGAATGAAAAATGATTGGTTCTGAGAGAGAACCAATCAGATTGTACAGGAGGTGGGCCCAAGCAACTAGATAAGGTGAGACTAAGACATCTTATTGGTTGGTCTAACATCTGACCAAGATCTGATTTGTTATCTCTCTCTGTAACCAATCATTTTTTGTTCTGCTCATAGAACATTTTTCTGTAGGTAAAACTCCCATGAGCTATATATAGGGTTCAACCATAAATAATAAAACCATATTTTAAAAGGAAGCAGAAAAATATACAAAGTGAACAGTAAGATGTATGTAGTAGATACAGGATCCAAAAAATACTGGTGAAGCATCAAGTAGACAAATAGTGCAATGGACAATAAGTTTGGTAAGAAGATACCAAATTTCAGGCTAAAAAGTTCTTATTTGGGGTGTTTTTCCTGCTGTTGAAGTTCAAAATATGTCAAATTTGATCAAACACTATGTAAAGTAAATAAAAATCAATCAATTTCTACTATTTTGGCACTTGGCACTGCAAACTGTGTTGAAGACGCCCTGTGGACGTCTTTCTATAGCAAATGTCTTCCTCCATAAGTTTAGCGTCAAGGTCCTAGACAGTCATTTGGATATATCTGTTGACTAATAAACATGCAAATGGAACATGCAGGAACCTGACAACGTAAGATTTCTGAAAGAGCAGGGCTTACAACATGACACTAAGGAATAACATAACAGAGTTCCAAGTGCTACAGCCAGACTGTTTATATGGACGGCAGCAGGGCCAGTTATCTAGCACTTCAAGGTTAAGAAGCTTTGATTGGCGAAAGACAAAACGCCTTACAGACCCTGCAACTGATTCCTGATTACTGATCACTGGAGGGAGTTCATGGCAATTAGTAGTCTCAATGTCCCATATAAGCTGTCACTCCACCTGGGTCATGAAGCACTTAATCAGCAGGACAGAGGGGAGACTTCACTGATGTCTCGCATACATTTGGCCAAATGAACCTGCCTTAGATCAGGGCCCATCAGTGTAACATGTAAGGCTACTGGCTCCAGAACCTGTGACCCTGGACTCCTTTTGACCTGCATTATATCTGACCTCAAGAGGAACCGCCGTCCTGTGTTTAATGAGACTGGACTCACAAACTCACTCTGGCATATCTGGCGACCCATCAGAACGTCCAGTGAGTGTGAATTGACTCACAGGGACTTTTAATTACAGACTCCATCCCTCTTCACTTTTTCCTAAACACAGGTCACACAAAGTCCACCCAGAATGCATATATGAGAGAAGCATTTGTTTTATGTGACTGCAAGTGATGTAAATGCTTCTGTTTGGTTTCATTTTAGTGCTCTCAGGCCCAGTATTTAATATTGCTATAATGATACAGAAAGTCAGGCAAATCTTGACTTCAAGGGCTGTTTCCTTGGTGTGTGGAAAAAACGTCACTTCCCGCCATTTAATTTCCAATCTAATAATAATAATAATAATAATAATAATAATAATAATAAATAATACCTTTTATTTATACAGTGCTTTTCAAAGACTCAAAGACACTTAATAGAGCATTGCTAAGGAAATAGACAAAACAACAAAACACTTTATGGATTAGGATTTTTTTTTTTTTGTGATCAAATTTTTATTTAACAATCTTAACAAAACACAACAAACCACCCCACCCCCATACCTTGAGCCAGCATGTAAGTCAAAAGAAAAACACACACACACACAGATATATATATATAATATAATCCATCATGTCGCCGGCACCTAGGACAGTTGTAGGCTTGAAGAAACGAAAAAGTTTTTAAGTTTTTTTATTTTGAAATTCATTTTGAAATACTGAGGAATAGCAGTAGGGAGGGAATTCCAAAGTCGGGAGCTAAATGGGAAATGGCACAATGACCAAGGCTGTAGAGTTTGGATGGGAGGATAAGGAGGGAGCCAGAAGGGGAGGATCAAAGCCTGCGGGGAGATTGGTAGGTGAGAAGCAATTCATGGAGCTTGGTGCTAAAGAGCTTTAAATGATAGAAGAAGTATTTTAAAGTGGATGCCAGTGAAGGCTCTGAAATATGGGCGTGTTGTGCTGGTAGGAGTGAGTGTGAACTAGGAGGCGGGCGGCACAGTTCTGCACTATCTGGAGTTAGCAGTGATACCAGCACGTTTCAGCTAGAGATAAAGGCGTGAATGAGGGACCCAACAGCAGAGTTAGAAAGGCAGGGCCTAAGCCAGGAGATGTTGTCGTGTTAGAAGAAAGCTGTTTTTACTATGGAACATACATGTGCATCAAATGTTAGGACTGGGTTAAAGGTAACACCAAGGGTATAAATCATAGGAGAAGGCGTGATGGTTGTGTGATCCAAATGGAGGATAACTGGCCTAACTTTATTAAGTGTGGGTGACGATTAGTTTTGTTTTATCACTGTTAAGCTTGAGAAAATTTGTGGCTCATCCATAGCACATGTGCTAGTGGCACGTTGTTTATGGAGCTGGTACTGAAGTGGGTGTATTGAAGCGGCAAATGTATGGTCTAGAGGATGAGGAGAAATGATGAAGAGTAATGGTCCTAGGACAGAGCCCTGGGGGACGCCACACATGTCAGCTGATATGTGTGATTCATAACCTGATAGGTTAATGAAATGTTTTCTGTCCGTGAGATAAAAATAAACCAGTCCAGCACTGCCTCATGGCGACTTAGGTCGTGGAGTCTCTAAGTCAGAATAGACAGTGAGACTGTGTCAAATGCCACACTTAAATCGAACAGATGTAGGATGCACAATGTCATTTGCAGTAAATGGATCATTTATCGTAGATCTGGTTGTTTATAAGCGATAAGCAGTTGTATGATAGATGGGCTGATGAATATTTATTGTTCCATTTGTTCCAAGGTCTGGAGGAGTGAAGAAACTAGTGGAACATATTTGCCCCCTCCTCTAGTAGATGTGCTCCACCGGTTTCTTACAATATATTTGGAAAATTGTAGTGTATTATCCTGATGTGACAACCAAACTCCAGAAAGTCTGCTAGATACTGAAGTGTACACTGTGAGAAAAAAGGGCACAGCCATGGTACCGTTTTGTTCCCCAAGATACAAACAATATTAATTTATCCAGAGTCTATTTCTGTACTTTAAATTAGACTAAAAGGTACAGCTAGAGTACAACTGGCAGACCTTTGAAGGTACAGCCCTAGTGACAAGTAATTGTACCCTCAAAGGTACAAATTGTTTGTTTTTTTTTCCTGAGAATGTATAGAAAAAATTAGGTCTAAATTTGAAATTGGAAAGACAGTGGAAGAGGCAGTGAAAGAGGCAGTGAAAGAGGCAGTGACAACAATGTGTTACTTGGTAGAAGAAGCACAGCCAAAAGGAATATGGGTTTTGGCAGAGAAGAATTTACAGGACTAGAAAAAAAAGGAGCAATTTACAATAGTTGTATGTGAGGCAAAAAAAACCAAGGCCCAGCTCCCCAGGACCCACCGGACATCTGCTCAGTGAATAGTGACCTGCCGATATACTGCAGTGTGCCTACAGAAGAGGAGATCTGCAAAGCTGTATATCAGCTAGGAAATGGTAAGGCAGGACCTGACAGCAACAGCAGACATTAAGCACTTAGGGCTGACATTGCAACCCCAGATACTATGCCTCCTCTTGCGGATGATGTGGTAAGAACAACACATTCCATCAGTATGGAAGGACAGCTACCTCATTAAGATGCCAAAGAAAGGAAAGCTCATCTCCTACTTTTTGAAGGAGTCACTTTTGAGATCTCATAAAATACACTTTCTGTTTAGTGCATTTCTCTCTCTAATAGAGGTTTACAGTTTGGGGTAAAAGAATGTTTTCTGGAATGTTCCCAATTAAACTGATCTGCTGGCCATGTGCCGTTTTCTGCCTTGTTTGTGCTCTCGGTTAAGAGCTCTGTGATGGGACTTGGCACACGGCACCATTGCCCTGGGGCAGTGACACCCCCCCGCTCCAACTCCTCACAACTGAAACACTATGCTCCCATTAGAAAGAGACTCTTTGTACTGTGAGATGATGAGCTTCTGGTAACTATATTACCAGGGAAACGTGGTTCAACTTTGTTCATTTCATATGTAAAGTCAGCTTTTTCTACTTGCCAACTCAGGAGTGAATTTGTCCCCTGGACTTTGACGTACCACTCAGGCAGCTGCGTGGTAGAAAACAAGGGGTTCAGACAGAGGTACAATAGATAGAGTTTTGCAGCCATCAGCTCGCGAAGGACGGCAGCCCTGACACAGCCGGCGTGTGAAACCTGCAGGAGATGAAGGTAGGTGACCATCGGCCAAAGTGGGAGCTAGAAAGAGGGAGCAAAACCAAACAGGACATGTGAAAAATGAATTGTCTTTAACCAGATGTTGCCATCACATGTAGATATGCCACTATAGTGATACCACTTCATTCACTATTCGATTTTTTGTTTCAAAATAAAATACCTTAATAAAAGTATTTATAATGCAATGCCCTCATTTTAATTTTAATACATTGAAAAGTGCAAAGAGGTGGTAGCTCATTATGGACACCCTGCGTGTCACACACTAAATGCATTTCCACCTGTATCGCTGCTAAGGAGCCCCATCAGAGTGATTCTGAGACTAATTTTCACTTTCTTTCTGAATTGGCCGAAATATTTTTGAAAGTCTGCACCAACAGTTGTGGATCATCTACCTGCTGCCTTGTGCATATACACTCACCTAAAGGATTATTAGGAACACCATACTAATACAGTGTTTGACCCCCTTTCGCCTTCAGAACTGCCTTAATTCTACGTGGCATTGATTCAACAAGGTGCTGAAAGCATTCTTTAGAAATGTTGGCCCATATTGATATAGGATAGCATCTTGCAGTTGATGGAGATTTGTGGGATGCACATCCAGGGCACG